ATTAGGAAAAACTTCTTCCCCGAAAGGGTTGTCAGGCTCTGGAATGGGCTGCCCAGGGAGGTGGTAGAGTCCTCATCCCTGGAGGTATTTAAAAGATGGGTAGATGAGGTGCTTAGGGCCTTGGTTTAGTGGTGGGATGTCAGGGTTAGGTTAAAGGTTGGACTCAATGATCTTAAAGGTCTTTTCCAACCAAAGTGATGATTCTGTGATTCTAAAATGTTGATTTTTGTTATTCTGTATTCTTTAGTAGGTTGATAATCTAGACTGGTGCAATTTTAATCCATTTTTTCTACTAGGAGTAAGAAGAGAATGAGCTACAAGTAGATATCTCATAAAAATATTATTTCTTAGGGGCACTGTTAAGCATCTTTTGTCTTTACATTCTCCATGATTTTTCTGTATTTTTTTTTTTTTTCACATGATAAGCAGTTTTCACAAAAAATGTGTGAAATTCCACAGATTGGTTTAGCTGGGTATGGTATCTGACAAGCAGCTTTCAAGAGAAAGGAGCACAACATGAAGAGTGAGAATATGGCATGGGATTAAATTCCAGCATTCAGACATAAAGTATTATTCTGTTTCTGAAACTGTAAATCTCATTTTTAATTAGGATCTGTGTAAGCATGTTATACAATAAGTCTGACTATCTCTTGCATGGTAATATAAGGCATGTATACTAAAAAAGAATGCTGAGAAATACTCCAGAAAGTTACCTTGTCATGCTCAGTACCTATTATCAGAGGTATCCCTAGGGATAGTAATTATCCAGTATTTTATTAATTTGATAGAATTGCCATATAGTTCTGATATCATGTCTTCTTATGAAGTCCAATGACCATTGTTGTAAACAATTTTGTGCTAATTTGAATATATGTCTATACTAATTGACAGTAGTTTCCTTGGTTCTCATGAAATACTTCTCTTTTAATAGAAGAATTACGGAAATTGAGTTGGTCTGGCATTCCCAAACAGGTTCGTCCATTTGCATGGAAGCTTCTTTCGGTAAGTTGTATTTTTTTTTTTTTCCTTCTTTTCAGGCATTACAAATAATTTTGCTCGAGTTGTAATCCATCAGTGATACTTGAAAACATTGTGTCTTGTTGCTGAATTGTAATGAAAGTTCTGTTCTTGTGCTCAATTTCAAGATTAATTTGTCAAACTGAAAGGAGGAGAATGAGAAGTAGTAGTAAATCATGTCAGCTGTATATCTTTATTTTTCAGCCTGGCTTTCTATGAAAGAAAGGCTTATGTGATAACAGTGGCCTCTTTCAACCAATTTTGATGGAATGGTGGAGAGTTCAAAGACAAGTACATTCTTACAGTTTTCTTGGAAACAGGCACACTGTAGAGGAAACGAAGCCTATCAGTGTCCTACGAAAGGCTTCATTCTGACTTCACATTAAAGTAACTACAAGACAGGATTAGCACTGTACTGAGGAAAAAGCTGTGATAGGATCTCACAGGTTTTTTGGCCGATTTTTCTGTAGTGGTTTAAGACTAACAAATCTGAATCGCTGTGGTCAGTTACCTTGTGGCATTGGCTCTCCTGATGTCAGACCTGTGAGTCAGTTCATGGAGACAAGCTAATTAAAAAGCTAATCACTTTTTTTGTAGTGTGACTTTTTGGCTGGCTGAGCTCTCTGAACTTTGCCCAGTGGTCAGATGATTTTGCAGTGGCAGTACCTTGGGAGTAGGTGACTGAAATACCATGGAACAGAACACGGAGGCATTTCAGTCGGCCATCAGAGGCAAGCTTGCAGGAATCTGTGATTCACTGGGTTTGGTGTTACAGAACTGGATTTTTTTAATCTCTGTGTTTGCACTATATTTAAAAAGTTTCTTCTGCAAAACCACAATGTATTCCTCATAGGAGTATTTTTCATGTCAGTCTTTTCAGCTATAATACTTGCGATGGCAAACGGTTGTGCATTTTAGCTGTTTGACTGCCTGTGGTTGGGAGAAGAACTTGTGAAGATGTTTGTATTTAAAAGAAGCAAAAATGTCGTGCTGTCTACTCTCCAGAGGCTGTGAAAGACACTTTATCAGCAAATCTTCATGCATTTAAGGACTGTTTAAAATTCTGAGTTATACACACAACAGTTTAACACTATTAAATTTTTCAGAGAGTAGACTTAAATAGCTTTGCTTTTTATAGAATAATTCATCGGGGAATGCAAAGTGTTTACTTCAGATTGAGACTGATTTCCAGTGACTGAAAGAGGGTCTCTTGCTGATGAGTTCTACTAAATTTGCAGCTTAGTTCCTTCTAATGCTAAATGCAGATGCAGCTTCTTAAGGGTGGATATTCAAACATCCTGCTGTAATTGAGATTAAACATACAGTGTACAATTTATTTTAGTTCTGTTTCCAAAGTTGTCTGAGATTTTGGTAATGAAAACAGCTTTTTTTTTTTTTTTTTTTTTTTTTTTTTTTCCCTCGAAGCTTTGGATGACTGTTTTAAAATACTCAAAGTAAGAAAAAGTTATGGCTAACTCAGAGTTGATTTTGAAACACAGTAAGCTAAAGCATAAGGATAGGTTAAGTTCTGAATCAGTGGACTGACACTGAGGTTTAGAGAATTTGAATTACACAGAAGTTAACTGCAGTCACTTTCTTACTTTCAAGTAAGAACATGGGATCCTAAGTGTAGAGTTCCCTTGTTCTGTTGTTTTAACCACTCCAGTTCAGGATGCATTCCAGTTCAGTTCTTATCTTTGGCTGTCTTGCCATACCTCTGCAAAGAAACTGTCTTCAGGTTATTTTGTTTTAACTTTAAGAATTAATTTTTAAGTCATGTTAGTTGTTTAAACATGTTACCTACTGCTAATGTACATCCTAGGTAAGAGGAGGTAATGTTGATAATCTTCTGTGCTATAAGGTGCACTGGGCGCTATTGGGGAAATAAGCGTACAAAAGCAAAACTGTTTTGGCTAAAGATCAGTCGCAAAACCAAAAAAGACGAGAAAACCAAAGAAACCAAAGTGTAGTTTAGAGATAAATTGAGGCTGGATGTGTTTGTTTTGGAATTATTCAGTCTCTTACTTAAAAAGCCCAAACTGTGACTTACTTGGGGAACTGAGGACAATTGATGGAATCTGAGGCAGAAGGTGATTTTCTTGTTTGTAATACCAGCACGGAAGTTGCAATTTTTAAAATATGATTTAAAAAAATAGAACAATTGAGATATTTGTTAAACAGAAGGTTAATAATGTTAACATGTGTTTGATGGATACAGTTTTTTAAAGAGAAAACATATGAAAATCGATATAACGCTCAGGGGCTGTTGATGTTATGCATGTTTACTTGTAACAGTATGTAAAAAAATTAAATGGTTTATTTTTAAAATATAGCAAAAACATTAGGTATACTGTACCAAAACAGCAAGCAGAACTGTTCAGGCTCATTTCTTGTTTGAATAATAAAACTAAAGATATGGTTGCAAAAGCCTTTGGAGGAAATTAATGAATAAACGGATTAAACTCTCCACCAATTTAGTCCCTGATGATATGTTCAAGCCTTTCCAACTTTTAAAAATAAAACCTAATTTGTAAAGTGAACAGGAAACAAGACATGTCTGACTGAAAGATTACTTCAGTCTTTGAAAGGGAATAATGGCAAAAAGACTTGCTGAGAAAATATTGGTATCCTTTAAACAATCACATTTGATCTCACAAATGAATTATTTTCTAATGGTACTAAGATATCCTACAGGAAAAAAACCCAACTGTTGAGAATAAACAGGAGGCAAAATTCAATATTTAACTTAATACAAAACACTGGGACAGGATATTAAATGTCAGACTGAGTCTTGAGGCAAAAGTTAAGCTGGTGCAATTTAAAGTACCTGGAACCAGACACAAGTCAGTACATCTTAAAAGATACAGTTTTGCCAAAGCAAGTACCTATTAAGGTATGTGGAATGTAATATGGTTTGTACTTGTTGGCATCTTAAACTAGGATATTAAAATATACGCGAATAACACTTTAAATGGTTTTAATATAGAGATATTTTCAAAAATCTATTGAAGTTTTAATATGGTGTGCATTATTTTTCCCTATGTGGTAAGTAAAAAAGAAGTTATAGAAATGGGCTATGATGGTGGGTTGTTGCAGGAGAGCAGTGGAACCTATATACCTATTCTTAGAGTATTTATTTTTATTGTATAATCAGCAATTTTAGCACATTACGTTTACACCTTCCATTTTTGCTTGTAGAGTTTAGGACTGAATAAGAAAGTTGTTTTTGTAGCTAAATGCACAGCATTTTATTAGTTACTTGTGGTGGCTATGGTTCATTGTATAAATGCAAATATATGTTGCACTTCTAGTATAGGATTTTTTGATGTTATGAGGATTATTTATTTTTTTTTAAGGAAAGTTACATCTGACATAAATTTGATTTCTCTGTTTTACTAATTACCATTAGTATGGTGATAGCTGCTACTGTGGAAGGAGAGCTTTTGTTATATTGGCAAGAAATATTCTAATTTGACTTGACTAGTGAATATTATGATTGTTGGATTTCTCTTATATTGTCTTGGATATCCAGATCTCTTTCAAAGCCCATCTATCTTTAAAATTATTCTTATACGAAGTATTTTTTCAGGACTGCCATGTGTGTAAAATATGAACTGTCTTTTTTGCAGTGTTACGGGAGACTGGTGTTGACCGTTTGACATCAAGCTGCTTACAAAAAAGCATTAACTATTTCTGAATGTTCAGGAAACTTTCTGGTAGCCAGTTACGTGAATAATGGTGTTTCTAATAAGTGTACTTTATATGTAAACCGATGATTTAATAACACTCATCAAATTTCCTTTTGTAAAATCCTGAAGTAGTGACCCAAGCTTGTGCTTGTTTTTTAAATGGAAAGTGGGCTGAGATGCTGGAAATGGGATTCAAACTGGAAAAAAGAAGAAAATCAGAATTGATTGTTTTTTGGGTTTTTTGGTTTTTTGGTTTTTTTTTTTTTTTCGAGAATTGATTGGTTTTTGGGTTTTTTGGTTTTTTGGTGGTTTTTTTTTTTTTTTTTTTTTTTGGAGGGGCAAGTGGGGAAGATTGGGGAGGATTTTCAGATATATATGAATGAGTTCAATGAAGAACCATTCAGATATACTTTGTACTTAATGCAATAATATATCCTCTTGCATATCTGACACATGACTTCCTTAGTGCATCCAGTGTCCATACCTTATGGATAATAAGGTAATATTTATAAATCGCTTTTGGGAAACAGCTAAGGAAATGTATAGCAGGCGTTCTTGCACCTAAGGCCCCAGTCACTGGTGCTGTTGAGTCTTTTTGTGTGATGAAGCTTTTAATAACCTGTTGAGATGAAATGAAAGCTTGAAATTATTTTTTTTTTCTCATCTGAAATGGTGAAATAAAGTAGCTAGAATGTTTGTATAACTTTTGAATTAAAACTCCATTGCACTACAGGTTATTAAACTGTAATTTAAACATATTTGCTAATTATATAATTCCTACTTGAAGGCAACTGAGATAATACGCATTTTTAAAAAAAATTTAATAAAATTGCTCCAGTAGTGGCCATATGGGAATGCAGAAAATAATGACCCTGTATAGCATTAGATTTATCTGAACTTACTTATTTGAGCTTTTCTCTTCTGAAGGAAAACTTCACCTTAGAATTCTTGATGAGAAATTGCTTTTTAAAGGTGGAAAAACTTGAAACTTTTTCTTAATAAAAAAAAAAAATGAATTTAGTAAGCTGTTTGTATCTGAACTTCTGTATCATTTGGAATGATTAGAAAACTGATTTACTAAAGAAATATTCAGATCCACGTAGGACTGCATGGCACTACATCAGTTTATTAGCTTTCCTGTCACATGTAATCAAATGCCAGCGGTGCTTTTTGTAAGGCAAAGAGTAATATCCTTTTCATTTCACTGTTGTTTTCAGGGCTATCTTCCTGCAAATGTGGACCGAAGAGAAAGCACTTTAAAAAGAAAACGCAAAGAGTATTTTGCATTTGTTGAACAATACTATGATTCCAGAAATGATGAAAATCACCAAGATACCTATAGACAGGTAGAACACCTCTCAAAGTGACTTTTACCTACAGGGCATCTGCTAAAGAACCTAAAGAGATTTTCTTTTTTTTGAAGCTTGCTACTGTTTTTCTCTATTTCTTTAATCTTACTTGATAGACAGCTCTCGAATCAATTGTTTTCCTACATTTCAGAAGCAAAAATATGAAATATTTTGGTATAAAATTCAAAATAGTAGATTTCTGTTAATGTCACCTTTAGTCATGCCATGTGATTCTGCCATTTGGTGCTGCCATGGTTTTCTGTTTAAAATTAGTAGGGTTTTCAATTATTCCATCTCATGCTCAGACCCTCCTTGGTATGAGTGAGGATGGTACAGGGGAAGTATAACAGCGACTGTTTTTTACTGGCTCCATACTTCTGCTTAAGAAGTTGAAACTGTGTATGATGTGCAGTAATAATAGAAGTGTCAAACTTGCTTGCCCACCCAGATAAGCAGATAACTTTTCTTCAAGTTTTGTATTAAAATGAATAGTTTGTATCACTAAGTATAGACTAAGCAATCCCACTTTAGCCTTCCTTGGGACAGAAGCAGCTGAGATCTTTCTTTCAGGTTCAAGCCTGATCTTTAGTAGCAAGAAGTATATATGATAGTGTCAATTGAACATGACTTTGCAGAAGTAGTAGTATGTATTTCCTTGTAATTACCCTGGGGTAATGAGTATTGCCAGTATGACTATAATTTGCAAACAATCAAAATGTGTTATAAGGATCCTCAAATGGGAAAATTAAGCATTTTTTTTTTTTATTTTGCCTCATTGATAGATTAACAGTGACTTAGATTTGGCCATGTGTTTTGAAATACGGTAAATCCATGGTATTCCAAAAATAGTGATTGTTGTGATTTAACCCCAGCCGGCAACTAAGCCCCACACAGCCGCTTGCTCACTCCCCCCTGGTGGCATGGGCGAGAGAACCAGAAGAGTAAAAGTGAGAAACCTTGGGTTGAGATAAAGACAGTTTAATAGGGAAAGCAAAAGCTCCACACACAAGCAAAGCAAGGAATTAATTCACTGCTTCCCGTGGGCAGGCAGGGGTTCAGCCATCTCCAGGACAGCAGGGCTCCATCACGTGTAATGGTGACTTGGGAAGACAAACACCAACACTCTGAACGTCCCCCCCTTCCTCCTTCCTCCCCCAGCTTTATATACTGAGCATGATGTTGTATAGTCTGGGATACCCCTTTGGTCATTTGGGGTCAGCTGTCCTGGCTGTGCCCCCTTCCAAATTCTTGTACCCACCCAGCCTCCTCGCTGGTGGGGTGGGGGGAGGAGCAGAAAAGCCCTTGGCTCTGTGTCAGCCGCAGGAACGAAAACATCCCTGTGGTATCAACACATTTTTCAGCAGAAATCTAAAACATAGCCCTCTACATCCTACTATGAAGAAAATTATCTCCATCCCAGCCAAAACCAGCACAGTGATACAATGGGATTATAACTAATACTGCAATACCGTGGGATTGTTTTAACTATTGTGTTGTTTAAAAAGTGTGCTGTTGGTTCCTTTTACAGTATTCTTCTTTCTGTCTAATTAGATTCATATAGATATCCCACGCATGAGTCCTGAAGTTTTAAGACTTCAGCCCAAAGTAACAGAGGTAAGAATGATACCTAAATAATTTTTTAAGAAATAATTTTATTAATGAATCTGATATCACAGTGTTGGTTATTAATTGATTTGACAACACTTGCTATTTTGACTTCAGAACTGGCTTTAAAAAGTCCCAAAAATGAGGACATATAAGCATAGGCTAAAAGTAGCTGTCTGAATATGAGTAGTAAAAGTATCTTGTTAATCTCCTGCATTGAATCTGTCAGTTTTTTCTTTGGTCTTGTGCCTTTGAGTTTTTTTTCCTTTTTTGCTTTTTATATATTTTGTTAATAATGTGTTTTTGAAGTAATCCAGAGCATGTATTTGTCAAAATCATTCAAGGTCTGGAAGTTATCATCACAGTCTTCCGCTTGGGAAATTTTCTTTTTGTGAATTTGTGGCATGACTGGTTTGTGTTCCTATTTGATTTTGCTTCTTCATTAAGTTTTATATGTTGAGTACACTATTTAAATTATTTTACTACTGTAGTAGGTATACATCAAGTAATGATAAATATGTTAATCAAATTGGTCTATGTTGTTGGGTAATTGAGTCCCACGGGGACTTTTCTTCATAAAGTATATAGGTCATAAATAGTATAGATTGTGTGAATCATCCTCTTCCAATTATTTCCTTTAATCCTTCAATTTCTTCTTCTTTCTAATGGTCCTTGTTAGACATTCAAATGTACTTCCATGTAGGTTCTATTAGTATCATTATAGAGACCCACAGAATATCTTCTGATAGTTCATAACATGATATGAGACGTTAAATGCAGAACTAGGTTTCATTTGTTTTTCCACTCTTGCAATTAGTTTAATGTAAATGCTCCTCCACACATGTTGGAGAAATTGGTTTGAAGAAACCAATTACAGTTTTTTGAAAGAAAAAGGTCTAAGAATACTGCTTTTTGTCTGCTTTCTACACAGTGATGTTTTACTTGGGCTTTTCTAGGGATGACTCCAAGAGTAAAGTAAGAAAAATAAAGGGACAAGATGGGAAACAATACCAGCAAGCAATAAACTATTAAAGAAATGAATAAGATCAATGTCAGTGTTGTAGCTGGAAATCAGCCAGTAAATTAAATTGGAGGTGAATATTTTTTTCATGAAAAAATGTCTACAGAAAGAAGAACGCTCAAATACTTCTAGGAGGAAAGAAATATTTGAACTGTGTCAGCAATATACTCTTAAATTATTCTAGAGATGTATTTGCATTCAACATAAAGTGGTAGCTTTTTTGGGGGTGGTGGTTTTTTTACTTCTTGCATTGCATGATTAAACTGTTCTTAAGGTTTCAGTGAAGGTCATCTGTGTCTCGAATGAATATGACTGTGGTGTGCAATGATTGTGTTTTCATAGTGCTTAGTTTGGGTGAACATACCCCAAAATGATGTTGGTTTTCTTCCCCCTGTGTTTTAGTGAAGGAGAAATTAGAAGCTGCTTAACTTGTCTAGTGTAAGGATCTGTGTATCTTCTTGTTTTTAAGGGAAGATTGCAGAGTACAAAACATTTAAAAAATGTCTCCTAGATGGTGTATTTATTTCTAAATTAGGTGAACAATAGTAATACTAACTTTAAAACAGAAATTCCAGTAAACACGTTCTGTAGAATATATTGAGTGCCCTTTCTTTTAATCAAGTTATTTGGATGAGAATTCAAGTAGTTTAATAAGAATGATACTAAGACAGACAGTCTTTGGTGAATATTTTGAAGTGAAGCGTTATTTATTAAAATGGTAAGATTATTAGATAGAAATAGAAACCTGTAGGATCTTGGACTAGTTTTGTCTTTTTGGTTTTTTGATTATGCATATGATATATTTGTGTGACTGCTCCTAAGAGATGGTTAATACATTTCTTTAGACTAGATGCAAACCTGTTAATAGTTTGTAGGAACACAGCTTTCTATTTACCATGGATATCTTCTTTTTCCATAATACAGTTAGAAATGTTAGAGTAAACTTGTATGGATAATTAAAGAAGATATGGTCAAGGTTTTCCAACATTTGAAATGTGCATTTTGTTGAATATTTAGTGTGTTGGGGAAAGCATCCTATGTAAGACATTGAAAAGTATTATAATTACAGGATAGTTACAAGCCCTTTTTGGCTGAATGATTAACTTAGAGCTAAAGAGTTTATGTGGGAATTTGGAGAGAATATTCATGTGGAAAAGATATTAGTGCAGTGTTTTTTACAAGCAGTCACAGTTGAAAGGAGATTATTTTTTTTTTTTTAATATATATATAGCTGAATTATAATTAACCTGAAAATAGGCTGGTTTAATGAAAATGCTGACAGCCAACTTCAGAACTAATAGATGCTTCCAGAATAAACCACTTCTCTTATTACTGCTTGGGAATAATTAAAATAAAAAGGAATACTGTGCCTAGGTAACTTCTTGCTAAGGAAAATCTGATACGTCAATAGAACTTCAGTAGCAAATATTATTCAGTAAAGTTTGAGTCTGGAACACAGTTTCAGTTAATTTTGGGATCATTAAAATTATTTAGAACTTTTCCCCTTTTAATTGTCTTTTGGCAGATAACAACATTGCTCAGGTAGCATGTTCATTTAATGTGATTTACTCTGAGATATTGTTTAAAAATATTTTTTTTCATAAAATTAGCATTTTTTTTTCATTTCTAGTTATTTGTTAAACTTGTCCAAAGGTATATTTTTCTAATGCTTCATTGGATATGTGCATCTTAAACACTGCCTCAAAAGAAACACATTTTAAATCCACTGTGATTGCTCTTGCAAGTAAGATGGAATTACTCCTTAAATTAATTTAGTCGGTTGCATACCCCTGCTTGCTGGTCATACTAATATTTCTTTAGTTTGAATGTTTAGTAAATTGGGCCATGTAACAAGTGTAATTGAGCCACATAAAGTAGATGGACATACTTCTCATCAATGTGATTAAGGCATTGTACAGCTAGATTGCTGCTGCTTTCATGTTTAAAAAAAGAAACAAACGCCCCGCCCCCGAGAAAAAAACCCTGCCCATACTCTATCCCATCCATCTTTCCTACTCCAACCTCTTTTTTTTTTCCCTAGTGAGTAGTAAGGAAATTGATGGAAAAATTACAGAAAACTTGGAGGAGTGAGATTGTGACAACTGACTAATTTTAAAAAAAAAAAAAAAAAAGCGTAAAACAAAGGTGTATTTTAATAACATTCTGTTAGTTGGGAGTGAGTGGTCTTGAGATACAGAAGAATTAGAATGAGAAAAGGGTGGATAGCAGCAGTCAGTGGGCTAAGGAGAAATCTAGGAAATATTTGAGTTACAAAGAAGGGATAAAGATCTGATTTAATTTTTACTGATCCATCAGTATCCCGAACTTTACAGAATCACGGGATCTTTATGTGTTAGATGCTCGACTGATCTCCTGACTCTTTGCCTTTGGTCTCTGTCTGATCCAAGAGAGCCAAGCCCAACTTGCTTTATGTCATCTTATAAAGACTAGCGCAAATGATGCTGGAAGGATCATAACATTCAACTTGTACCTTGTTTCTTCCTCTTCCTTTCTGGGTTTTTGGAGCCCTGCCCTAGCACAGCCTCATCCCTTATCCTCACAGGGGATCCCTTCCAACTCCCAAGGGCTCAATGCAGGCAGGGCCTTGTGTTTTTCCCGGCACTGAGTCCCTTCTAGTGAGGGGGAAGATGCACCTGGTCCCAGGTGAGCAACAGTCGCTTCCCCTTTCCTAAGGCAAGATGGCAAGAGCTATAAAGAAGAGAGGGAAATTGGAGTATGGGTCAAAGGTTCCAAAAGGTGGCATAGTCTGCAAGCCTGTTATTGTGGATATTATGATGGGTCTTGTACATATTTAATTTTGTTATGCTGCAGATGTTTAGAATAGTGATACTGCTGCTAGGAATAATGTTACTTGGAATGAGGTGAAGAGATTGTAGGTGATAGAGCTGAAAAAAATAACTAGTCAAAAGACCAGAAACATAATGTATATAAAACTCACGCTGTCTTCTGACTACAATTTCCAAATGTTACTATTCCAGGATTTTTGTTCTTTTTGGTGGTATCTGAGTCTGTTCCCAAAGGGCTTTTCATTGGAGTTAATAAAGCTGTTTTAATTTCTTATCTGAACTTGGAATTTGGTTTCTGTAATAAAATGCTTCATTTTAGAAAAAGGTATTTTGAGTCTGATGTGTGGAAATAACTCATTATTATATGTTGCTTTTAAAATCAGTTTAATGTGTTTATTTTTTATGGGAGTTATGCAGATCCAGGGAGTGGGGAGGTAATGTTGGAGAGAAGACTTAAGGAACTGGGAATAAATAAATACTGGCTGTCAGAGGAGGAGAGAGGAGTTGGAGTCAAGTTTGTTTTAAAGACTAATGACTGTAAGTGTAGGTTTAATAAATTCGATTAGTTGATGTAGAGTAGTCTGTAATTTATTATCAATTTCTGCTTTATCTTTAACTGAGGTTTGTTGAAATGAATAGTACATGGCTGTGTATTTTCCATCTAAACTTTCATTATATGGGAGAAGCAATTTCAAGGAAACCACACAGTTTAAAAATAGTTTATAAATTTTTCCCCACCTATTTTTTTTTCCCTACCTAGAGAAACAAAGAGCAAATTCTCAAAAGCTTTCATGATTAAAGCTTTGAGGGTTTTGGAGTTCTCTCTGGGGTGGCAAAACCCACAAGAAATTCAGAGTCTGCACTTAAGCTAATGGATTCTTCTCTTTAGGTATATGAATATAGTTCTTACTGTTATCATGAATGAAAGTTAAATTCAAAGCAGAATAATTGATTGGTAATGACATTTCATGAGATGTAGTGGTTCATAGTAGAAAAGTAATTCCAGTTTCTGTTGCTGGTTTGGAAATCAAGAATGAAACCTTTTGGGAAAGTGACCTTTTTAATGAGTCCTATTTGAACACAGTGATGAGTGCTCTATAGAAACTTAAATCAGTCTGCCTTTCAGGTATGCAGTGCTCACTTTTTTCAATTCAGAACAGTAAATGAGACTTTGTGAAAATGGGTAGGAAATTGAAAACACTATTTCAGTGTGTTATTTGTTGAATTTCTGATTAGATGCATTTGGGGATATTAAATCTGGTGTGCCAGTCGCCAAGTGATCCTTCCTGCTTGATAATATTAAAAACAAAACAAACCAACCCCCAAAACCCCAAAAAACCCAACCAAACCAAACCCAGACAAAAATCCAACTATGACCCTTAGTTTTCATACATAGATTTTAAAAAAGCTTTGAAATCCGTAGGCATCTTAATTTGCAATGCAAACTACTTATATTATCAGGTTCTGAGGAAAGGAAAGGTTGATGGTACAATTTTTGGGGTTACTTGACTTGAGACATGCCTTCATGAAAGCACTATTTTTATAGCTTTTACAGTGGATATTCTGATAGCTGTTACTGAATTACTGATTTTTTTTTTTTTTTGGTTGGTTGCTTTTTTGTTTCTCACTGCATATTTTGTAACCCCATTGCACCAGGAGTTTAGCTTAGTGCATAATGCTATTCTGTGTTCAGCAATTGCTATTTAAATAGGTTTTTCTATTCACCTCTATCTGATATTTGTTTTCAAGAAAGTTATTTGTATTTGCAGTATGTTAAACATGTCCTTTATTTGAAGCAAAACACAGAATGATAACACTGATAAGGCGGCTGCAGGGAGACCTGATTGCGGCCTTTCAGTACCTAAAGGGGGCCTATAGGAAAGATGGGGAAAATCTTTTTAGTAGGGCCAGCTGTGTCAGGACAAGGGGTAATGGTTTTAAACTAAACCAGGGTAGGTTTAGACTAGATATAAGGAAGAAATTCTTTACAATGAGGGTGGTGTTGCGGATAGAGTGAGAGGGAGGCATAAATAATGTGGTTTATTGGTGTAAAACAGTGAGTTAACAAAGGTCAGTGGTAAATGCGACAATAGTTTATGAGATTCGATGGCAAGGTACACTTTGTTATTTACTGCACAGAGGACAGGGTCAGACAAAACCATTAGGGGGACCCTCCCATAGAGTCAGGAGGTTCAGAAGAGATCCCCTTGCTTTCTAAACTCCCTCAGAGAGGAGTCTGGGTGTGGCTGGATCCAATCCTAGTCCCAGACTTGGTCAACGGTTTATGTCTAAAGGATTATAGATGCACAATCAGTCCTTTATGTCACTTAGCTAAAATTTCCAAGTTAGCATGCTGTTAGTCACTTACCAAGAATCTGTTGTGGTAAGGAACCTCTCAACCTCGAGGAGTAACCTTGAGAGGCATCCCTGCTCAAGGGGAGATCCTGGCGTGCAGCCCGCTGCCTATTGCATTGTTATCTGTCTCCCCCCACACCCAGTGGGTGCATCCTTCATGACCAGACACAGACCAGATGCATCTATCACCACCGGCACAGGTGGTTATCGCTTGAAAGAGGCAAAGGAGGGGGAGTCAGAGACGAGGGGGGAGCACACCACCACAGGTGGTGAAACACTGGAACAGGTTGCCCAAAGAGGTGGTGGAGGCCCCATCCCTGGAAACATTCAAGGCCAGGTTGGACGGGGCTCTGAGCAACCTGATCTAGTTAGCGGTGTCCCTGCTCCCTGCAGGGGGGTTGGACTGGATGACCTCTAGGGGTCCCGTCCAACCCAAAACATTCTATGATTCTATGATTCTAATACGGAAAAACTAATGTTACTGAACCTGGAAATGGCAGCTGACAAAGGCAGGAAGGATGTCTGTGAGCTAACTGACTTTGGTAGATTTGCAGTTTTCCAATAATAGTAAAAATACAACATAAACAACTGTAATTGCATAAAGGTATAATTTTGTAAAATGTAAAAGTCAGCTGTAAATTGCAGAACTTAAGGTCTTTATACAGTTTTTGATAGACAATGAATCCCCACTGGCTATTGCTTGATGGGCAGAGGCTGGTGTTTTTTCAGTTTAATATGCAGTGCATATTAAAAAACATGAGGTGACAGGACTTAGCACCAAGAAGCATTTATAGCTAAAGGAATAAGCATCTTTGCTAATGAAAACAAGAGGCTTTTATGGAGAATTTGCTAAATGAGTACCTCCCTTTCTGCCTAATCTTTGCCCCAAAACTGAAATCATACTGAGGAAAAACTGAATCTTAATTGTAGCGGTAATGGATCAGGCATGAGCTGCATTAAGGCTTGTGTTTCAGTGCCCGCCAAAGCTTTTCATATTTATTGTTATTGATCGTCTCTCTTGTTCTTTGGATTTTCAGCATCCCAGGGAAACAAAAAACCTGGAGATTAAGGAAAGTTGATTCTCAGAAGAAGCCCATGGGAGGCGGGTAGATGTTGATGTTTGGGACTTGTTTTCAAAGGAAAAAGTGCAAATGTGTTTCAGCTTCAGGTAGCTCATGTGGAAGCCTGTGATGGGACACTCAAGCACCCAGATGCGAGTCATACATGCCTAGACCTTTCCTTACTTGAAAATGACTGTAAGAGGGCTTTAAACTAAAGAATAAGAGTTTATTTAAACTGGAACTTAGTCTGGCAAAAATTTGAAGTGAGATTGAATAGAAATAATACAGGCTTCGTAATCTAAGCTTCCTCTCCCTATTGCATCCTTTCAGGGCAGGTCTTTCACAGGCTTTCATGAAGCCTGAGCTTTCATTGACTTCTGGGGTTGCAGCAAACTATGCGATCTCCTTGGGGTCCTTTACAATGTCTCTCCTTTTTTTTATTGGTATTGAGGCCCACTCTTAATAGCTCTTTGGTTTGAGCTTTTCTGTCTGTGCTCTACTTACCTGCCTCTGCATTCTGG